GGTTTTTTTCCCGCGAAACCGTTCCTGAACTGTTGCTTTAACAAGGTCCTCCGTTTCATAGTGAGGCAGATTCCGATAGAAGGGCCAGAAACTGCGGCGAGGGGAGAGTCTAGGCGAGAGACCGGAACTGACGAGAAAGTGGTTTCAAAGATAGTGTGAAGGCGTGGCATAGCTGTAACCACTCGTTAAGGTAAACAAAACCCTGACGCTATTGCGAGGATACAACCAACTACTCCATTCACGAAAGGGTTTCTCTAACAACTCAATACCGGTCGGTGCCCAGGGTGAATAACGGTCATCCTCGATCATGGCTCTGTATTGTGTGAGAATAGTGTCGAGAGTGAATGTACGCGCGGAGAGCACAGACGGCTCGCGCGTGGCGAGAGTGAATGTCCGCGCGGGAGAGCGTGAGTGAACAGGCAAAATCCTTGACGAGTCTTCGACCGATTTTCACCGTACAGTGCGTACCAAAAGTATGTGGACACCCTGGAATCGATTCTCAGGGGTCAGCTAAAGGCTTTTATGTTATGAAACCTTCACCATTCAACTCCTAGTGGTCGATAACCTACAATGACATTTTCGGCAAAAGATTTCGTTCTAACTTAGCGAACTATTTTTCATGGAAATTTTTTTCTTTGTATCAAAATTATGTGGACACCCTGAGGCAGATGAAGTTTTTGCATCGATTTCCTAACCTATTTTTACTTCTCCTTTCGTTACTTATTCTGGCATCATTCCTCTTCACGGCAAGCGTTTTTCTGAAGAAGACCAAGCACAGAAATGGGATCCTCATGCTTCTGAACCTTCCTATTGCGAAATAGCACGTCAACCAGTCGTGCGTCCTTACACTTCAAAAAAAAAGAGATCCAGAATCCTGATGCTAAGCTCTCGATAACGACTGAAAGTCGTCCATATTCAAAACAACACAAGAATAGCTCGTGATGTGTGAAAATTTCTTAATCTGCTATTCACGCTCGCGTTCAAATGACCTTCAGGCCTTAAAAATGACTATTTAGCGTTCCACTCGATCGCATGAAAGCATAATACAACAGAAAATGAAAGAAGAACTTCGTGTATGGAGGCTTAGCACAACTTGGTAAGGTTGGAATTTCTACTCAAGAACTGTACCACAACGTGGGACGTCGAACCCGGACAGGCCGAGTTTTCGTGGAAAAGGTAAGTCCAGAACAAAAGGCTTTCTGCGGAAATTCTCTCTTTAACCATCTCGACTGGCGGGAAGGAGCTCATCTTTGGATATTTGGGGTGCGGGACTTTTGGCTCGTCCGGACTGGCACGCGGCAAGTTGCGCGGCGGCACGCGCGGCGATCTGGACGAGACAAGGCTCCGCGGGTGCTTCGGGTAGAATTCAACACGTCAAACCGTGTGCAGATTGCGGATAAACTCCGCATGATTCTGCTGTTTGAAAATGTTTCCGCTCGCGTAGATTTGAAGCAGCAGTATCGGTGAGGAGGTTTCAGCGCAAGGATATGAGTGAGGACCTTCATGGAAATATCATTACTACCCATCAAAGCAAACAAGAGTCAATAAATTTGGGTGTTTTTGTTGAGGTATTTAATGTCAACTGTATATGTTCTGCTGATCGAGGCGTTCATGTCTTGAGGAGAAACATTCGAAACGAAGTCCCAGCAGAGAGGAGGAACGCCAGAGAGAACACAAATTACCCCAGAATCCCTTCTCCTCCCTAAGGCTCGGTTCCAAACACAGTAATTGGCTCACTCCCCTCCCCCCAATGGAACATGCCCTTTCGAATTGCAGAACCTTGCAGATTTTATCCGCAATCTTCACACGCTTTGACGTGTTGAGTTCCTGCGAAGCGTCCGGATCGCCGCGCCGCTCGCCGCGCAATTTGCCGCGTGCCAGACCGGACGAGCCAAAAGTCCGTCGCCCGGCTATTCGGGTGGGTCTCGTTTTTGGAGAGACCTTGGTCGTGACCCGCAGATGTACTCGAAGAGACAATTCGGAGAATGTTCATCAAAGGTCTGGGGTGGTTCCAAAAGAGGAGGAGGAATTGGAGTTTGGCTTGCCAACATGTCAGGTAGACATCTAGATTATAATGAGGTGCTTGAGTCCCGGCTACATTATTTTTCGAGAAATCATCGTCAATTGTTTGCCGGCCCGAGACGAGGTCCCTGACACGTATTCCATTTGCAAAAATACTAAACGCAACGGTTTTGTGTGAAAGGTCCGGCTAGCGTATTACTCAGACCTCATCCTTATCGAAAACGTAGAGGTATCATGGTTCGCGGTCTCTACGTCATTGAACGAAGGAAAATATCACAATGCGGACCCCTAACACGTGGGTGAAATGGCCGGTAACAGGTAGGTAGGGAGAGATTGTTCTGAACATACCAGGAAGAATGCCTTAACTCCCTAGAAGCTTTGGTGTGCCTGAAGGTTTTAGATTCTGAAGATGTTGCCGTTTCGTAAAAAGTGTCCACATGCTTTTGATACAGAGGTACAGTGATAAAAGATTTTTACTTTAATTAAAAAAATTAAAGCTGCATGTAAATTGGTAAGAAATGAGAAATAAGGTTTTCGCATACGAGAATTTGAATGGTGGCAACTGTATAGTGCAAAAGTTAACAGTTCTTAGGAGAATGAAAAATTTTAGTGTGTGCACATAAATGCACACTTACTGACTACTCACTTACTTACTATTACACTTAAATAACTGCGGAGATCTTAAGGTGACTCTTGTTGGCTCACTGATGTCTGGAACTTTGGTCTTATCAGTTCTCTAACCCCACCAGCAACTTATGGACAAGGACCGTTAAGCCAAGGCCCACACAAAAATCGCCGCACCAACTGCCGCGCGCGACGCTGCCCGCCGCGTGAGCGGCGTGACCTCATTAGCCGACGATTGAATTGACCGTCTCCCTACTTTTAGTACGCACTGTCTCTATGTCTGTAGAACACCCCTCATTTGTTTGAAGGAAGCTTATACCTAAGCATAGTCCTTAGACACTGTACGGTTCTAGTGGTCTGAATCGGGAGACATGAACCCTGCCATTTTGAATAATAGAGCGTTCAGAGCATTTATTCTCTAGCCGTGATGGCGCAGCGATTTTCCTCTGTATCATGTTCTGGACCGAAATTGTATGATCTTTACGAAAAATGCTTGCTAACCTGGCGAGGTGCCAATGAGGAAACCACCTTCTTGCTTGAGTTCGTTTTCCCAAGTGTATTGGAATGTGCCAGTAAGGTTCTGAAATCATCAAAGAAAGCCTCACAAAATTTGATAGGAAAAATCTGAAAAATTATGTTATAAACATATGTATTCCAAGTGGCAAGTGAAGTTCGTTTCTACGACAGTTGTGTTTGTGTGGCGCAGCAGCGTCAGGGATTGGGAAGGAGAAGGGCCAATGAAAAATGTCAAACCACCTCTTCATTTAACCCATTCGCGACCGCGCCGGATTGCGCAATAGCAGGAGAGTCAGGAGATTTTTCTTCAATAAAATTTGAGTGGATGGAGATTTCCTCTGCCCAGGGCTGGCGTAGATGAATGAGGGTATGAAGATTCTTTTCAGGAAAGAAAACTTCCAAATTCCATTTGAAACACGGCAGCCACCGGTGGATACCATTGTCCGAGTGAGATCTTTGTCAGCCACCGGTGGCTGCCATTGTCACGAATGGGTTAAAGCGGATTTATTCGCACTTGGCTAAACTCAAACCGAATGCTCCTAACTGAACATTGAAGAGCACACCGTAATCTATGTATCGATAATTTTCATAATGGCTTTCTGCACAGAGGATATGTATAAGAAAAATTTGCCTCGGGAACATGGTGCACGGTTCGAGCTCAACGAAGGTCCTTGACGGGTCGTAGACCATTACGACATTATCTGAAATGCTGGTCGAAAGGGGTTTCGTACTGTCAAAGCTGTTGTCTCTAGTAAGCTATCCACCACTGAACTAAATGGAGAAATCACGTAGTAGCTTCAGGCTGTAGTAATTACGGCAGGCTTCCTTAACCTCAACGATAGGTGTAGGTGACGTCATATTTTGAAAAGGGCAGCGACGAAGGGCCAGCTTCTTTTAATGGGGGGACATCCAAAAATATTTTGCCGTTGAGCCTCCATCAACGACGTTGACTTTATTTTCAACGTGGTTTTGTTTCAATGGAAACACATCTTGCGAAGTAGAAGAATAGGTTCATACTCACTTCTATTATTCTTTTTTATTTACATGTTTACGTGATGAAAAGAGAACGAAGAGAACAGATATTTTGGCAAGGAATTGAAAACCTTGGCCAGGTCAAAAAAATTGACCATAATGTGAGCCACGTCGTTTTTGAGTATAATAATGTATTTCGATATCCGAAGATGGGGTGATGTCTCACCGGAAGTGACGTGCACTTGATAGAAGCTGTGTGGATAAGCTGCTTCCAACATACATCGCTGGATATCAGCAAAGCATGCTGGCAACAGCTTATCCACGCAACCTTCTATCAAGTGCACGCCATTTCCACCCCAACTTTCGGATAATGGCTGTATGGCCTAAAAATGAGCACAAAAATAATTGGGAAGAAGTCGGGCATGTGCGGAAAAAATTAGTTACAAAACGCTGAAGCACATGCGCGTCAGCCTATACTGAACGTGTTAAAAATTTTGTAGGAGCTTCAAACTGGAGCAATTATGAGGCCTATGGCAGATGAGGTCATATACTAAAGACTGGTGAGGGCTGTGAAAGAGGGCTCAATCTATTAATGGAGGGGCATTTAATGCGAATATTTCTCTGAAAAACTTCCGTCAACGACGACAATGTCTGCGACGAAAAAAACCCGACGGTGAAGGTGGCGACATGTTGTAATGTCTTTTTTGCCCCCCCCCCCCCCCCCTCCCTCCCGTACGTTGTGTTAACATGTAATATTGCATGTAGCAGTATGTAACACCCAGTTTAATTCGTGATTACGCTACATTCAATAATTATACAGCCACCTAGAATTTGTTCGAAAAGTCAAAAGTTTTTAAAAATGTATACAAACTTAATTAGCGATTTTCAGATTCCAGATATCAACACAAAAATCCATGTCGAAAACACTAAAAATTTTGTGCTCATTTTTTCAGAAGAGGTCGATTCTTCCTATGTTCAAAAATGATACAGCCACCCCGTGTTTCTTCGTTGAGATTCATTTTAGCTTCATGAAAATGATTCGCAGTTATCATCCTTCATCTTAATGTTCCTACAAGAGAAAAAAAAGGACAGTTGCTTTTTTTTCACGAGGGTAGACGTTTTCACTCACCTTTTTCAAGAGGGGTAAACTGAAGCAAAAAAGAAACATGAAAATCGTCAAGCAGACAGATTGCGCGAGAATTGAGTCAGAGCTCCAATACGGTAAATAATTTCTTCTGGAATCTTCTGGAGTATGGGTTATTGGTTATGGGTTATGGACCGAAGAAGAGATCTGGATGCTAATCTTTTGGCCAAGTTGGACTCAAGAAACATTTCAATTTCATCGAATAGTGCCCAGAATTTCTTTAAAATTCAATCTTTCGGAGGACATTGTTTGGGTCGTGTTGAAGATCTTCCGAGGTCATTTTCCAGTGGAAAATTAAAGAGACCTTGTTTGTGAAAGGAAATTCTCTCGAAAACCGAGTCATTTTTTTGCTCGAGAAAGTGTAGCCACGTGAACTGTTGCAAAATCACTCTTTTGTCTCTTGTCTCACATTCTGTTTACTTTCTTTCGAATTTTTCCTTTCTCAGAAAGGTTTTTTTCCTTTCATCAGGCTCATAGAAGCCAAAACATTGAGAGAAACGCAGATAGAAAGTAAGGCATAACGAACAGAAAAAAAACAGATCTTGCTCCAGTCGACGTGGCTACACCTTCGAGCAAAAACTGACTCGTTTTTGAAGAAATTTTTTTCACAAACAGGTTTCTTTAATTCTTCACTGGAGGATGATCCACCAAGATCCTCAACGGCAATCCCAATAAATTCCATATGAAAGGTATGAATTGAATGTACCCCCAAATTGCCAGGTATAAAGCTTGAAGCAAAGCAAAGATGACATCCAGAGCTCTTCTTGTTCCATATCCTACAGGATTCCAGAAGAAATTGTTAACCGTACTGGAGCTCACTCTCTTGCGCGCAATATGACTGCTTGACGATTCCCGTTTCTTTTTTGTTACAGTTTACCCTTTTTCAAAGTCCAACTGCCTTTTTTTCTCTTGTGAAATCGTTGAGAAGAATGCTGGCTGTATCATTATTGAACGCAGTGTATTTCTTATGGGAAGCATGTTTCTTGTTTCGGCCTTTTGCTCGCAAGAACCACGGGGTGCCTACAGAATATAGCGCTGTGAGGAAATCGCTACACAAGCTTCTGAAATTTATGTTTTGGAAGTGATGGGTCTTTCGAAATAGTGAATTCAATTATGGTTGGTTCTTTGTTAATTCACCAGTATCGGAAAATTTGTACAAACTCACAACGACGTACGAGAAGTACCCATGATAGGTGATGTTTCCCGCTTTCTGGAGCAGGTAGTATCTAGCCCAATCATGCTGCCCATCAACTGTGGTTCCTTTCGGCATTCTCCCGACAACACATGTTTCCCATCCTAACTAAAATGAAACACACAAACGTTTAGATTCAGTTCTGAGATCGGAGCGCGCTTTCCCACAAACCGAGATCCACGATAGGCCGACGTCATAGTTTGCGAATCGCTGGATCCGAGCGTTGCGCCAGCGAATCGAATGTTGCACCAGGGAATCGACCGATGCACCAGCGAACTCGAACTGACGTCGAACCGATGTAGGAGCGAACTTACAATAAGGCGGGACCCAACGTTCAAAAGGAAGCCCGCTACTTTGAACAGTGTCACGTAACAGTGGACCCTTTTTGAAAGTGGCGAGACTTGATATGTAGTGGACATTGTTCGGAAGTGGCGGGCTTCCTTTGAACGTTGCGTGCCGTCGATTCGCTGGCGCATCGCTCAATTCGCAAACTATCACATCGGCCATAGAAAGTTCTCGAAAAATTTGGATCCGGAAAAAGGAGGAAATAGGTTGCAAACTAATGAACGTTTCGAAGGTCGGAAATCGAAAAATGGTACAGCAGCGAAAAATTGATCCCTTTCACGCTTCGGTACCCGTAACGGAATGATTCCTGGTCCATTGGCTCTTTTAGAACCTGCCAACAAAGCCTGCAATGGGCAGAAAGGAAGAGAGAATGGACTTCCTTTCTCTTACTGAATACTAGTATCAGTCTCACTATTGAGAGTCGTTTTTTGAGATAGTTAAAAGCTCCGCCGAAGGAGTTTAAATTTTTGTGACATTTTAAGGGCTACAAGGGCGATTAAGAGTATCCACTGGAACGACTTGTCAGAAATGTGATAAAGAATTACTATTCATTTAATCAAGATCTCGTATCTATTTGGAAATTTTACTTTGATTTAATGAATTCATTGTATTATAGGAGGGGCTTGAGAAGAGAAAGCATCAAAATTTAGAGAGTATTAGTCAAGTAGGGAGAAATGCGCAAAAAGCTGTTGTGGCAAATTCTGATCGCCACTGTGTGTTAGCAGAATGTGTTAAGATGGGCTTACCAGAACTTCCAAGTGCTCCGCTACAGCGCGAGTAGGTGCCGAACCACAAGTTCCAAAGGAATGTCTTCAATGTTGCCATGTCTGTTGCGTGACTGTATCCTGAAATTTGAAAATGATCTTAAGTTTTCTGGCACGATAATGCAAAGGGCTCTTTAACCTTTCTTTTGCAGGTACTGAAAGGCTAAATTGAAGACTTCCGTAGCGGTCCATGTGTCGAAGACCTGCTGCAGTCCGGCTTTGCGGAATCCAGTCATTGCTTGCTCAGCAGTGCACACCTTAACCGTCGTTTGAAAATGAACTTGTAAGAACTGATATAAACGGCGTTTCAGGATACGTTAGAAAAACATCTGACGCGAAATCCTTCACGTTTTTACCATTGCATGTTGTCCGATTTATTTCTGCTCTTGTCATATCGTAGCGCTCACATCGTTCTCATGAACTTCATAACGATGCAACCAGGAAAAAGACCTAACCGTAAGGTTTGTGCAAGTGGGAACTTCTTGAATATCCCCCCTCAGAAATCCAAGGAGTAATTCCATTTTTTTGCCATTCCTTGGAAGCTTGACCTCGCCAATTTTTTCACACGTTTCGATGGTTTTTGTTGTTCGCTGAAGTGGGATGCAAACGCTCTCAACTATGCTACCAAGGCCAGACGAGAAGGAAGTTAAGGAGGAAGGGGGTGGGGAGGAAACAGAATATTGTGAATTTGAGGGGAAAAGGCGCTTGAGAAAGTTTTTGCGGAAATTTCGAAATAAAAATTCGCGATGAAAATTTAAGGCAACTAGGCATTTCATATCCAACATCAATGTACACTCAGCGTCAGGATTGATTGGATGCACCACCTAATAAGAGCAGATTGCGACTAAGAGGGAGATGGTAGGTCGAAAAGACCTTTGAAAATGAGATGTTACTCTCTTCTGAGCCTGAACGTTGATTTGAAACCTGCCTCCCATACCTGCTACACAAGGCTGCGAACAAAATTCCAGCTTTTCTTGCCGAATGTGATGGCCTGATGGCCTGTCCCATGTGAAGACGGATTTGCAGGATCAACTTCAGGGGATCGAATCAGTCAGCACACCCACTTTCGATTTCCTTTTATAACGTTCACAGGTAGGGTGGTAAATGTCATAAGCCTTCCCTCATTGCTCAACTGTACTTGATTTGTGGTGAATTTCTCCTTCGTAGCTTCTCAATTTGGCTTGCAGGCATTATGGGTGCGCATCACGAACGAGGCGGTCTCACACCAAGCGGGTGCGACATTCGCGTTTATGAGGTCTAACTGCTTTTAGGGACGAATTTCCAGTGAAATCGAGATCTTGAGCCCTGATCGGAAAGAAAGTTGTGACCATGAGTAATAGTGTCACCTCTACTCGCTAGTATCTCCAACATCGGCCCATGCTTACAACCCTTCGGCAGAAAGATTGTTTTCGTTGGAAATTTAGCTGTAGAGGTGATGACGGTCTCATCAACAATATGGCAATCGTCGAAGAGTTCTGCAATTTCTCTCTTCTTGCAACCTCGTCACGTCAAAAACTTATATATATATAGTATAAATATAATATATATATATATATATTTATAATATACGTCCCCACTCGAGCTGAGCTTGAAGTGCTACTCTCACCAAGAAATCAATTTATAATTCAACTGCTCAAGAGAATCATCCAGCAGATGTGAAATAAGTTCAAGATCATTCGAAGAGGCTTTGGATGGTGCACCTCTTATCTGTATGGCTTCTTCGACCATTTCTTTCCTCTTGTAACAGAGCAGGTAACATTTTGAGAGATTTCGATATGCTGAGAGGACTTCAGAACAAGACACTCCGAAATGTCGACATAATAAAATTAAACTCATAGCAAAAATATTACCATAAAAATTCCGCTTGACAGAGACAGACTGAGACATCTACTAATTGTTGTGAACTAATGTGTGAAAATCAAGGAATATCCTTCGCAAACCAAGCAACTCATATACAAAAGAAAAGAATATACTACCTCAGGAGTGAAAAGATTCCTGTTGAACACATCGATCAAAGTGGCGTAGACAGGTCGTTGGAAAAGAGTCTCGTTGACGTAGGCAAAGAGCCTAGAAAGGAAACCATAGAGCGTTAGAGTGTGATCAGGAAGAGAAGCTGAATGGAATAGCAGGAGCTCAGAGCAAAACTCACTGATTCGGGCTGGTTTTCTTGTTTCCTGAAACTTTGTTACCCCAGTCCAGAGTGTAGTCATTAGGACCGGCCTTGTCGACATCGGCAGCTCGCATGTTATCCACAAGGATCTGAAACACCAATCTTTTCATAGAGTGAGCGCTAACATCTTTTGCAGGCATGTTTTAGACGTCACGAAAGGATTCTTAGTATAAACCACGGCCTCCCTAATCCCATTCCCTCCCCTACATAGGGCTACCCACACCTTTAGCGTGCGGTCCGGGAGCCTAATAAATGATCAAAAACCTTGTGCCGATGCCCAAAGTTTTGTTAAAAAGGGATTATAGATATACGGTGAACGGTGGTACGGCAAAATTCCTCACTTAAATCCCTAAATTTTTCGAAAGTGGAGTTTACGATTAGAACGTCGCCCACTAGACAAAGGAGGTGGTCAGTGGTGCCGAGATGAAGAAAAAACCATGAGAAACGGCCCAGAACCCGAGAAATGGGACCCCTTCCTTGCCCGTTGATTTCCGCACTGATGCGACTCTCATCGGTGCTGCCCTCTTCAACGCTAACGCTCTCTCTGCTGAATGGCTAGAGACCCGTGGCGAGTGGTTAGCCAGTTACGTACCGCGCTGATAGCGCCGCGAGGGTCCTCGCTAAATCGCCGGCAGCATGTCTTTCGCTGTGCGTGTCGGTATGCACCCTTGTGGGGGGTCCACCTGTTCTTACACTAGCTAAGTTCCCCTTCTTCGACCCTATGCCTACCGTGAAATCCTCCTTGAAAATATAGTTTTCCAAAAAAAAACCCTCCACATCACCCCAAAATTACGAGACGATACCCCTCTTTGAACAATAAATACCAATAACCGTAGTTCTGCAAAATGCTCGAGGAAGTTTTCATCAATTCTACTGTGGTCTGAAGCGAGCCTATAGTGCGAGAATTCTGACAGAATGGCAGTGCGCTGGCACAAGTGAACATCATCGAGACACAATTTTCCATAATTTTCCAAATTAATTTATCGCATCTATCTACTACCAATGGTAGGTAAACATATTCACGCTTTTCAGCATCAGATACCCCTTTGAAGTTTACCTGCAGATCAGGATCACTGGCACTTGGCTTCTTAGTGGTACCTCCAGACTTCTTCGTCGTTTTAGGAGCAGACCCGGATATGGCGGGGTAACACTGATCAATCTGAACACTCTTTTCATTATCTAGTAAACCTGAAATCATGTTGTCGACTATTATGCCGATACCTCTATTGTACAGAGTTTGAAGTACATACGTGGCACCCGCACTACGAAGAGTCGAGAAATAAGGAGGAAGCCGGAAACCGGAACTCGCGAAATCATTCATTTTCGTTCAAAAGATTTCGAATACTCAACCTCTTCGCCATAAAAGCGAGAAGAAGGAAGCTCAGAAGATATGAGAAATATTATGTTTAATCAATATGCGACGCAAGGTGAAATTAGAAGTACTAAACAATGTTCAGAGCGGAGCCACACCAGTCTGAATAGATCTGACAATTTTAGTTCCAAAGTTTATATCAGTTGACAACTTACCACTGTTACACCATTCTGTACGAGGGTACTGGCAAAGATGCCCACAGGTTGGTTGTTGATGGTCATCTCACACTAAAAAAATGATAATAGGAAAAATATGCTGGCTATCATGCCTGATAACACTCTCTCTGGACATGAACTGCTGAACAACGTGGAAACTAGGAGGGTCGTTTTCGCTGAACGGAAATCGGAAATTCGCGCAACTGTGGAAACTTGTCGAGTCAGCTTCTGGGCTTGTTAGACAATTGCCTTTTGAGAAATCAAATTTGAGCAGCCATTGGGTAAGTGTAACCAAGAAATCGGCTCATCAAACCGATACGCAATCTTTAGATTTGGCAGTACCTGTCCTCCGTTCAGCGCACAAATTGTGTAGACTGCCATCTCGAATTCAGGTGAGGTATTGAGCAACATAGAGGTTTGCATGGCTTTCCAATCCTTCCAAGCAAATTGCAACGACAGTTGGACACCCTGGAACCCAATGTATTAGTAGAACTTGTAAGATGCGTAGGTACGAAATGTCTAGTTACTGATTTGCGACTAATGGAGGTCAGGTTTGACAACGAACAAAGGGCCTTTGTTTTGAAGTCGAAATGGAATGAAGAGAAGTTTTTAACAGAGATCGGCAGCATGTCCTTTGGCACTTAATTTTGTGATAACTGAATGTAATTTGCCCACACAACAACATGGGACCTTCTTCTGCTTCTGCTTTAACCACAGAGATTGGTATCAACTTTATTCGGCTAACGTTTCGGCGCAATCGCCTTCTTCGGAGCCTGCAAATCAAAGCATATTTTTGAAACAAATTCATTCAAGTACCATTTTGGATCACATGAAGGAAAAACTGAGGGGAAATGAGTCAAGCACGAAGTCGTAACAAGCTATCAGAAGCCGAGCGTTAGTAAGGCACCCTTGCTTAAAGACCGTAAAGCGACTTTACGAGAGCGACGAGAGTCGCTTTACGGTCTTTAAGCAAAGGGTGCCTTCTAACGCTCGGCTTCTAATAAGGGTTAGCTGGTTACTTCGTGCTTGACTCATTTCCCCTCAGTTTTTCCTTCATGTGATCCAAAATGGTACTTGAATGAATTTGTTTCAAAAATATGCTTTGATTTGCAGGCTCCGAAGAAGGCGATTGCGCCGAAACGTTAGCCGAATAAAGTTGATACCAATCTCGGTGGCTAAAGCAGAAGCAGAAGACGATTATAATCATGCCGAGATTAATGGAAAGTCGTTCCATGAACATGGGACCTATTGTTAAAGTCAATTCATATTTCAACCCTCTTACTATCGGAGGTCAACAGGTTCGTCCGGTCATTTGCAATGATGTGTGGATTATTGAATTCTTCGTACTAATAGCTGGGTGTCGACGATGGCGTTATTTGGCGGCAATCTGGGGGCGCCAAACTATGTTACGCAAAATATAGTCAATCACCGGGGATCGAACTCTGGACCATTTCTTTCACCAACTGTTTTGACATTCCTGGAGGCGTTCAGGAAAAATGGATCATGATTCTGTGCTCCTCGCATGTGCCCCTATAACATGCAGAAAACCATTCTGAAAAAGCGCTCCATGTCCTAAGACCTTCGTTAGCTGAACATCTCCAGACGAATGCAAGGGTTTACATCCAAATGCCCGGACCGGCTGCCGACCTTTCCTGGTTGAGCAAAAACTTTTACCAATCAATCGACACCTTGATGTTAAGGGTGGTCAGGGTGAAGTTTGCTGATATTTATCGATGGATGGCACGTGACGAAAATTGCCATCTCACTACCTCCTTCACCCTTACGCTGGATAAAAAGGATAGTTTTCTGGATCTTGAGAACGAAAATGCGATGGAAGAGGAAGCGAACCAGATGGCCGTTCCTTTTAAAAGGTGACTCTACTCATTTTACGACTTTTATTCACGTAGCCTTCCTTGCAAATTGTACCACCTTTATTCTAGCGTTGACGTGTTGACCAAATTAAATTAAAAAAAAATTGAAAGTACACGAGCAGAACACCGTGTAGAGGAAAATACAAGCCTTTGCGATGGCACTGAAAGAAACCTATCTGCTACAGTAACCACTCGCCGAAAACTGCCCCTTGCAAAGCACCTCACGTAGTTCACGGAATTGTTTTGCGTTTGTTGTTTTCCTTTCGGGTATGAACTGAGGTCCAATGCACCGAAAACTGGGTTACTCAAATATTATGGGGGTAACGCAGAAAAAATCTATCATCGGACCAATATCGACCCATATTATTTCAGAGGAGCATCGCTGCCTCGACGTCGTCGTTTCTTTTCGCAATCGCAAAACATCGCTCGCACACACTTACAATAACGTTCCTCATTAGTGATTCAGTAGTGATCTTGAATCAGCTATCGATCGATATGATTAATCGAGTTGATTGCTTCGCATTCAGCGGACGATCTTCGCTGTTTCCCGTTAAAGCGACTTTGAGCTCGTAGTTTCGCCGCAACTTTGAAAGACACCGTTCAAGCTTGGACCTTTTTGGGCGCTTATCGCAAACCATTTCCGAGTAAAATTGCTACGATAGCGATTGCAAATCACTATTGATCTCCGTCATTCATCAAAGAAACGTCACCTTTCACTGTTCACTTTTCTACCAACAGTTAGTTCTTTTTCGATAATTACAGCAGATGAGCAGAAAGAGCTATTGACATCATATGCTTTGTCGAAAAACATTATTTTCTTCACAGTATCAAAATTGTGGAGTGTTGTAAAAAAGTAGAACTTCTCAAAGCATCTCAGCACACATTTTTGTATACCGCAAAAATCCCATCTCTCATTTGAGGTTGAGCTGCGCAATCGCCAAGCTAAGCATCTTCACGTCTATGAATGAGGCTCATGACTGTGGTGCGGTGCAGTTTTATTCGAGTTCGTAAGGGAACATTGGTCACACCCTAGCAAAATCCCAAGCAGGTCCAAATGTCCATTTGTAGAAGAAGCAACTCTAGGGAAGGAGCCCAAACCTTGTGATTATCGTAGGGAGAGGGAGGGCCGTATTTGGAAAGGTGGCACCATGTTCGCGGGAATAACAAACCGAGGGAATTTTGCAGAAGTTCGGGATGTCGAAATTGTCTTTTACCTAGATACGTTTCAAAAATCTCGTAGCTGGCGCCATTTCAGAAACTATATATATACAGCTCTGCTCAACGGATTTGTTGGAGTTCAAAGAGATGTTAGGCAGTACGAGGTCCAACGAAGCATCAAGCATAGGAGGACCGTAAAACCCACATAACGCCGTGGTTCAACTTGCTTCTGAATTTTTAAAGTCAGGAGCGCCTATCACGTTCTTGTTCTACCTCACTCAATCTCTCCACCAACATTCTTTTTTGAATTCTGGCAGAGATTTTGAAAGTCTCGGCTACATCCC